GAACCAGAGACTAGGTGTGGGAGGTCAACACAACAGTAGGTTACAACAAGTCATTGAAGGGAAAAGAATTCTCAGTACGAAGATTTCTTTAACCCTCAAAAGGGGTTTCTATCCCTTTTATTTTCAGACTTAAAAGGAAATTTGTGCGGCTCATGTACTCAGTAATGTTCAACCAAAAATGGTAAAAGGAGCCACGAGGCTGACAGGAGGTACGGACCAAATGTGTTTGTACTTCATTGTCTTGACACCTTTCGTTGGTTCGGTTTTCGAGTTGATACCTTTTTCTCACCTTTATAAACGGTCTCACCGGTCTTCTGTCAAACACCGGTTTATACTACATTCGTCACTTCGTCGGTGTCGTCTATGTGTGTGTATGAGAGAGAAGGAGAGAGAAAGAGAGAGAGAGGTAATTAATAGTAGTCGAGTCGACATTAGTAGTTGTGTGTGTTACGGGAGTGAAACTACAGAATAAAGATCGTCTTAGTTGTGCCCCCTGGGTTTTGGGTCTATAAAAAGGATTGGAAAAGGTTGTCTCCTCGGTAGTCCAATACGAGTACCCATTTCTCCTACTCTTTGTTGATTTCTTAAACTGAGAACTTTATTACAAAGAAAGTGTCTTCTCACCTCCCTAAATCTACATCGGATGCATCAAATCCCCTTAGCGGGGGTCTAACTTAGATAATTTCAAATTCCCCTACTACAGTGAAGAGGGGTGAGGAGGAAGGTGAGGACAAAGAGAACCATAAAAGTAGACATTGACTGACACGTAAGTAAGAGTGACTTACTTTTTTTTGGTATATATTGACCCAATATCCGTACCCGACTACTACTGGGGACCTGGGTGGTAGTCATAATAAGTTCTTCACTTAAAATTAATCGAACTTTCCAAAGTTACGGACATTAGTAGGAAATTTCCCTGTTAAATAAGTTTATTGTATAGTTGACTTAAACGTCGAGGGTAACCGAATTGTAATATGTCAAAGGTTGAGTAACAAATCGAAAGGTCGGGTGTAGAATGACAACACAAAGTTAGAAGAGTATATCGCGGTAAAAGCCGGGTTCAAGAGGTATTTATTGAGATTTTTGGGTGTCATACGATGGACGAGTCGTTGTTAGTCGTGGTGTCTGTCTAAATCGTTGTTCGATTTTCATTTGTGAATCGTCGATTTCTCTATTTACAAAGGGAGACTTGAACCATCTCTTGGGATTTGTCTGACCTAACTATTAACGAGTGTCGCGTACTTTATTAACAACGAACGTATGACACCTAAACTTCTTAATTTCCGCCAATCTTTCAGTGGTGTAGTAGACTTTCAGCACTGGAATACATTAACGAACAAAACACGAAAACGGACAGACGATTTCACCGGTTTTGTTGTCATAACGTCCAACTCATTGTTTACTGTACCACGTTTCTGGTAACTCACTTTCACTTCTTCCCCTTCTTCTACTAGTGTCGACTCGGCTACAACATTTTTTCTCATAGCAATTCCAGGGTCAATGGTGATGTCACACCGGAATCCAACTCCAGTCTACTTCCAGTCAGGTTTCGTCAAGTCGGAGTGGTCGATGATAGAATAAATGTAATCTCCTTTTGTCCTTACATTGTGAACATTGTGTGTTTAATTAGTTGACAAAGATTTTTGTCAGGCTATTTTTGTGAGTTTTGGTCATAGCCACAAAAAAATAAAACATTACAAAATGTGTTTGTGCCTATCAAAAAGTTCTTACACAAATGATCACACGAACCTCAACGACAATCTGTACAATGAAAAACTGTCCGATACAAAGTTAGGATGTAAAGGTAATGTCTGTTTATACTCTATTAATAAAACAACATAAGACCGGTATTATTTTGATATGTTATTGATTAATATAAATGCGTTTATACAGCCTTCGTAATGAAATCTAAAACGACAGATACAGTACCGAAGTTCTTTTCCCTTAGGACCACTAGAGGAGAAAATTGGAACTCAAAAAGAGTTTAGATTTGGATTTTAGGGACACTATAATTATTTGGCCACCATCATTCTCACACAGCATTCTTTACATGCCCAGAGCCCGCTTGCGGGCCACCTCCGTTCCATAGTCTCAAGTTTTTGTTTACTTGGCGTTAATGCGGAAGTGACACATCTATTACCAAATTAGTTGAAATAAGCTTCCTTTTATTTTCAGTTTACCAAAGGTACCAGAGGAATCGCACACGCCTGTGTCTGGGCGAAGCCTGCCGCCCCCTGTCCAAACACTCAGCTTCCTTTGCACTAAGATGCCGACTGCTGTGGCGGGCTGTGATCAAATCCTGGCCGTGTCCCCGGCTCCTGGGCATATTTCAAATTACCTCACAGCATGACTATTCTTTGCTATATCCCACACTGCAAACTCTCCCTTTAGAACAGGGTTTTACTCGGCAGTTAAGATCCGGATTATTGTATCAACATGTGGTTTTGATATGTTGAAAGAGGGTGGATTTATCAAAGAAGTGCAATGTAAGCATCCCCCTGTGTACTTTAGCCACTACAAACTCCAAAAGGGGCTCAGGAATGGCCTGAACCTCCATGCTTTAAATTACAGACTTGCAAGGCCAGAAATACCCTTAAAAGGAAGTGCCCGGCAAGACGGAAAAATAGGGTCTCATTGCGGGAACTGGTGGGTGCTGTGGCAGTGACCCACATCCTTTGACTCCCACCTCCCCAGCCCTGTTGCCTGCACACATCCCACATTAGCTGACCAAAATGTAACTTCTCCACTATCTGAATGTACGCCTTCTCCTCGTAACCGTTTTGTTTTGATGTGACCCAGCCTCGACCCAGGGGTAATTCCCATCATTTTCCATGCATCAGTACAGCTATTCACATTTTATTGGTGGCAATGTGAGAGAACAAATCAGCGTGGACACATTCACTTCAAAGTTATGAGAAAAACATCTGCTTAAAAACAAAAGAAACATAATTGACTGTGGGGTCAAATGCCCTGCACTGCCTACAGTTTGGCGTCACAATGAGTTAGTCACCATGAGTTGGCTTGTCGCATCCGCAAAGCATCATTTCACAGAAACTTTCACTTACTTAATTAACTCACTTAATTATCGTAGTCATTTCTTCTAAGTGAATGACTAGAATGTCTGGGGCATCGCGATGACTGGTGAGCAAGCTGGTGTTGTGCAAGTGTTTAAACCTCCATCCATCTCCTCATGTCTGCCTTAGGTTCAAAAGATTGTAGTGAAACTGACCCAGTTAGAAGAACATTCTTGTTGATTGTAGTTAAATCAACATACGTTTATTTATTTGACAGATTCACCTCATCCCATCTCAAAATGTTTTTGCAGGACATGTGCATGTTCCCCTCCGCTACCGGCCTCATCAACAAGGCCGGGACCCCCACTGACACTTTACCTCAGCCACATCATAGACTCTATCACATTAATGCACACAATGTACACACTATCTGTTTTATTCTGCACATATTGTATTCCATTCTATTTCAATGTAAATACTGCTATATGTTACTATATTTGTTATAATTTTTTTATGTTAC